GCTGGGGAAGAGGGCAAGTGGCGATACTGTAAATACTGATACCGGAATTGAAGTCTTCCCGGGAATCCCAGCCGCCTCTAGGTTCTCGAGAGCCACCCATGCCTGAGGACAAACAAGAGAGAGCAGAGTGGAGGCTGGGTCACACCCTGCCCACGTACACATGCATCTGGAAGGTGTCAAAAGTCACGGGATGGGAAGCCCACTTCCCAAAGCCATGATCACAACAAGAGGTTTCTGGCTGTCCGGAGCAAGCAGGAACACAAACCCAGGCCTGCAAAGCACCGCCCACTCCTCCCAAGGGCTTATGGGTACTTCTATAGGCCAACCCGACAGGGCCCAATGGCGTGGTACTAGTGACTTGTGCTCTGTGGGCCCTTAACAAGCTCTCAGGTTTCAGTTTGGGAGCACCAATCACCTCTGTCATCTGGTCCACCTTTCCTGAAGCCAAAGCCACCTTTATCTTGTTTTCTGCCTTCAGCAATGTCCACACGCAGTGACCGGTCACCCAACAGCTAAGGAGGAAAAACAGCGTCAGCGGTGGCAAGCACACCCATGTCTCCAGGGATGCCTGGGAGCACACGTACCGCACCGTCGTATGTCAACGCCTCCTTGAGCGAGTCCACCTCGTCAAACTCCACGTAGCAGAACCCTGCGGGAGACCAGAACACCCACCTGAGCACGTGCCACTGCGCCACCCGGCCCGCAGCGCCCCTGGAGCCCGGAAAGCAGCGGTTTTCCTCTGTGGTGACCGGGACTCTCATCAGAAGATGCGACCACAGGGACCGACCCTGCAGTGGCCCGCATGTTTGTTTATAAGGCTCCTTCTCTAGGGCTGGCCGTCAAACAGAACCGTTCCGGGGCCACCAAGGGGCAAGTTCTTCAGCTCCGCCTCCGAATGACTGACTCTCTGATCGGAGCAAACCAGAGCTTGAATACACAGCTTTCAAATGCTGCTCCGACATCCTTTGAAGGAAGAGGCAGGGGTGGTACTCAGCCCCCGGGAAGAAGCACTGTACAAAAGCTCCGCAGAGCCGAGGCCATTAGGGCCACTTCCTCCCGATCTTCCTGGAAGACAGCCAGCCGGCCAAGACCTGATCAGGAACCAGCAACAACCCACTCCCCCAACCACTGGGATGTTATTACCAGAGTGGAGGCAGCAGGGGGAGGAGGCTGCCGTTGACCTCTCCCCTCCCTCCAAGTGGTCTCTTCTTCTGACGTGTTCCTCCCTGCCCCTAACCTCACCCCCAGGGCCTGAAGCCCCTTTAATCAGTCGCAGTGCCCTACCTCCACACAGGAGACCTGGTGGCGAAGTTACCGGGATACGTCTACCCTGTCCTGTGCGGTCCCGGGAGCTGCTGCCATCCACATGACAGCAGCGCTCACACGCTCACTTGCCCCAGCAGCCTTCCCGGTCCACACTCAGCCTGCAGCAGCATGCCCCAGAATGACACTCTCTCACCATGGCCCACAGGACCGCGGGCGCTGAAGGCCGGAGACCTAATTGCTCTTGCCTGGCCACCCGCTTCCTGAGTGGGGCACAGGAGCAGCCATGATGCACCGTGGCTCTGGGCATGGGGGCCAAAGCTGCTGCTGCCATGATTCCAGCCCTAGAGGCTGACATGGGGCGCATCCTTTCACCATTCTGACCGCTTCAGGTTCAAACAACTCCCAGAATGCCACTACCCCCGAAGCCACCAACCAGAAGCCACCGCATGCTTTTCCCAGAAGCACACCCCAAGTCCCCGTGCCTTCTGCAGCTTACACTTCTCATGGGACACACCTCTGTGCCGGGACCTGGATGGGAGGAGGATGACAATGTCCGCCTGAGCTCTCACCCTCCCTCTTCTGCTCAGTGCTCCATAAAGAGACCACCTCTGGACACGTTGGGACTGGACCGGAAGTCTGAGCCACACTGCCCAGACCCACCCACACTGCCACACAGTGAGTGTGTGGGAAACCGGAATGCCAAGGACGGATTTCCCCGTGAGTGTTCGGAAGCTCTCCCATTATCAGGGGATCTGTTGGATTTCATAGTAAACAAGTGGAGTACGAAAAGCGTACGGCTAAAGCCCCTTGGAAAGGTTGCTTTGAGTGGGAATGAACTTGAAGGCTTGGTCTCCCGGACAAATTCTCCTGGCAGACACGACTGCTCCCTCTTCAGGCCAGGCCCACAGCCGCATTTCTTTGGGCACATGGCCCAGAAGCCGGCAGTTTGCAATCACCTGATTCTCTGAGAGAAAGACAAGGCTCGGAAACCCGCAGGAGCAATTCTGCTGCGCGGCCTACTGTAAATCGGCATTGACTTGCTGACAGAGATTTTTTTAATGCCCCGAGTTTCACAAACTAGGTATCTGCTCACCGCGCTTGTGCCCAGGAGGAAAGGGACTTTGAAGAGCTCAGGGGCTGTTGTTTCCACTCCTTGACTCAGGATCAGAGTCCTCAGCCCACGGCTCCCCCAAACTCACCTTTGAATTTGTCTGTGTCTTTGTCTCGGACTAGCCGTACACTCCGAATGCTGAGATCCTTAAAGATAGCGTCTATGTCGCCCTGAACCGTGTTAAAGGGCAGATTTCCTACATATGCCGTGTAGGGGGGCTCCGTGGGCAGCTCCTTCTGGCTGCGGGAACCATGGCCGCCAGCACTGCCGCGGGACCTGTGTGGGGAAATGGACAGGATCCAGGTTAGCAGGCTTCCCGCCTGGCCCGCCGCCTTCCCCCAGTCACGTCGAGGGAGATGACAAAGCGCATGATGATGCAACTTTTATTCTTAAAAAAGGTGAGAGAAATGTCTATGCGAAGAGACACAGCGTCAAATTAACGCTTTCTCAGCAAAACTAACCCAGTATGGTATGTCCCAGGACAGGTGGCCCCTTGCTCCCCCAGCACCAGCGGTTGCAGCAGTGTTAGCAGTCGCAAACCAGCCAACAGCCTCCCTGGAGGCCAGTGAGAAGCTGAAATGGAGTCGCCCTGAAGGCAGGCATTCTCAGCAAGCCTGTAAAAGCCAGAACCTGTGTCAGGTGGTCACCTGTCATAGGGGGAAATGCCAAAGGGGGAAAACCTAGGCTGTCCAGTCAGCTGGCACGTCTCGGGCATTAACAGGAAGGCTAGTGACCCTGCCAAGTCCCACACATGGCACAGGTTTTGCTCCACTGTTGGAAAAGGGTTCATAGACCAAGTTCATGGACATTTCCGATTTTGGCAGCAGGCACCCCTACAACACTCCATGTGCTGCTTCGCTGGGCCCTCAACGTGTATGGTGCCGGCATGCTGGCTCGATCTCGGCGTGCCAGAGCTGTACGGTTTAATTCCCAGGTGGCCTTCAGGAGCTCCATGGCTTCCCAGGCTAAAGGCGGGCTGTCTGTCTACCCAGGGTGCCTCGGGAGACAAGCCTGGCAATGGCTCTGGGACAGCCTCTCGCGCACAGATCACCGATCGAGCAGCGAATCTCCGCAGTCATGAGCCAGCAAGGGCTGGACGGCAGGCAGCTGGGTGAGCGCAAACACAGACGCAGGATTGCTCACGCACGGGGCCCACAGTTCACCCGTCTAAGTAGCAATTACCTCCATTACAGAAATACAGACACGTTCTCAGAGGAACCAGGCCTGAAGATGGTGTCATGGCTGGGAGGTCAGTGGGAAAACAGCCCGGGACTGGGCACTGCGTTGCTGTTGCCCAGAGGAGTGCTCAGGCCAGAGCTGACCAGACAGCACCCAGCAAGGTCAATGAGAAGCTGCACTGCACATTAGCTAAGAATGCCAGTTAGTAAGTGCACAGACCTGAGTCATTGGAAAAATCACTACAACCGTCAAGTCACTAATTTGGGCAAGGTTCATCAAAGGATGCTGAAGCCGCAGACTAGAACATGGAGGATCAATTACCATAGATACTCGTGTATAAGTCGAGTTTCCCAGCACATTTTTAATGCAGTTTCTGTGATAAAATTAGGTGCCTTGGAAGCTATTCCGGTTGGCTTATACTTGAGTATATATGGTATCATAAAACGCAGTGCATTTACTTATCCTGTACCAAACCGAGTGGTACATGTAAAACACACATGACTACATTGTGTGTGTGTGTGCGCGCGCGCGCGCGCGCACGCAAGTCAAGCCCCTTGCCACCTTCGCTGATTCCGACTGGGTGACTGAGACAAACCTTTCAGATGCAGACCTGTCAGATAAGTCCTCCTCAGGGAGTGGCTGGTGGTCCCACCATTAACAGTCCAAGGTCCATCCCACGCAAAGAGGAGAAAGCTACAGTGACGTGAACACTTTGCGGGAATGACAGAGCAGTTTAGGGGAGCGGTGTCTGAGACGCTGGCACACTGCCGCTGTGTCAGTCCCAACTCACAGGGACCTCTAGCACAGGGCAGAACAAACTGCCTGCTGTGGGTCTAAGTAGATTTTCACGGGAGGTGGGTGGGGGTGGGTAACACTTCTCAGGGTCAGCAGGCATGGCTGGCACAGGGGGCAGAAAGAAAGCCTCATCTTTCTCTCGGAGCCGCAGGTGGATTAGAACTGCTGACGTGGGGGATCTAATCTGCCGACTCTGCAGTTAGTAGCAGTGCAGTGCGCAGCCCACGACACCACACTAAACCAGACCTACTCAGTGCAGTTCAGTCAGGTCCCTACAGGACAGGGCAGAGCTAGAGCGGGTCCCTGTGGGTTTCCCACACTGGAAGTCTTCACTGCGTAGCAATTCTCAGCTTTCTTTTTCGGTAGAGCTGGTGGTTTTGAGCTGTTGACTCCATACCACAAGAGCTAGCTAAACACCAAGTGAAAGCACCTGACAGCTAACCTACAGAGCAGACTGGCGACCTGAGTTACTGTCATCTGTGCATCCCACCAGGTTCGATTGGCTGCCTCACACATCACTCAACAGCCCCACCCGCCCCACCTTAGCCAGCCCCAGACCCCAGCGATTCCTGGTTTCTCAGGGGGCTGGTTACTATAGGTAGACGCTGATGTCTTCACGCTCGCTCACGTGTGCACTGTGCACCGAGCGAGGAGACACGGGTGAGACCCGCCGCGCCTGCGGACATCAGTAAGTCACATCACAACACCAGAACGCTTGGAGCTCTGATTCTGGTAAGGTTAGCGCTGGCTCGGCGCAGGGCTCTAAGCCTTGTTTTTTTGGTCTGTTATATTTCAAAGCTTTATTTTCTAAAGACATTCAAACGGATCATGAAAGCCCGTCTTAAGTGCTAGGTGCAGCCTAGAGGCTGGGGAGCCAGAAGGGCGCCCCAGGCCGCACCGCTCCCACAGGAAATAGTAGCTAGGGTACAGGCCTGTGCAGCTGGCCCGACAATACGTGAACTGGGGGCTGTGCGACGAACCCAGGCCATGGTGCTCACCTCTGCCCCACGAGTCACCCCGACTCCTTCCCACTTCTCACCAAGCCCCAGGGAAGGGTGACTGACGGGGACAAATAACCCGGGAAAGGCTTTCTCGCTTGTTTTCTCTGTAACAAAGGGATTTCTTCTCCCCAGTTTAGGCTGCTTCAGGGCAGAGAGCTCAGTGGGTTTTAAAAGCCCGTGTCTCCTTTCAACACCTGAGAGCTTGGCGTCCCTTGGCGATCTCTGTGTGCCTTGGCATCAGCCTTGCCCTGGGTCTAGGAGGCTGCTGGTACAGGATGTCCTCCACCTTCTTCCTTGGGAGTACCAGGTCCCCCAAGGCGCACAGGTTTAACAACGGTTAGTCATGTGCGACAGTCACTTAGGATCCAACCATCAACCTTAAGAACCCAGCTTCAAATAGAACCAAACTCCCTCATATGCCAACCACTTCTCACGCCAATAGCTGAGTGTCCAGGGAGTGCAGAGTAGCATCAGGCCCACACCTCAGACCCAGGTACTACTTCCTGAAGGAGCGGAGCTGGGACAGGGGAGATCACAAACAAAGGCTGAAAACTCAGAAGTGGGTACTGAGCAGCCTCTCCCGGGACACAGTGTGTGTGTGTCTGACCAAAGGACGCAGCCACTTTGCACGGGCATACTGGAAACCAATGAGCCCTAGCCAAACCCTGTGCACTCACTCGCAGGAGGAAGGAGACCAGATGTGCAACATGTCTCGATGTACTAGACTGCTCTGCATTCGACCGCTGCAGAGATTCCACCATTCCTCAAACGCCAGGACGCATGGGTGGGCGTGGTAGAGTAGGCACTTTCCAGGGTATCTGGGGCACACAGAGGAGGACTGAGCTGGCTGGCCTAAGGAAGCTGCTCACAGGACTTTCAAGCAGCACTCAAAGGCACGGAGCAGGCCGGGTCGTGGGCCCGTGCCGTGAGTTGTTGGCACACACTGCCACGGAGCCTGGCTCACAGCGACCCTGTGGCGGGTGGAAGGGCCCTGTGGGTTTCCAAGACGTAACTCTTTGCAGGAGCAGAAAGCCTCATCTTTGTCCTGTAGAGCAGTTGGTAATGGGCTCAAACTGCTGACCGTCCAGGTAGCAGGCCAGCGCATAAGCCACGCATCACCAGTAAGCATGCTTGAAAAACAAAACAGGAGGGGGGGAGAGTGAGGAGCTGATATCAAGGGCTCAAGTAGAAAGAAAATGTTTTGAAAATGATGATGGCAACAAATGTACAAATGTGATTGATACATGGATAGATGGATGTATTTTGAGAAGAATTGTATGAGCCCCCAATACAATGATTAGAAAAAGAAAAGAAAAACAAAAGGAATCAAAGCAGCAACAATGGTCAATAAAAAAACAGGGTCCAACTCTCTCAAGTCAAACCCTCTTTCATAAAAACGGCCTAAAATTGATCACAAAAATACTTACACCTTAATTATTGAGTATGCACAGCTAAGTAATAGATACCCATCCCTTTGGGAATATTTTTTTTTTATGTAGATGAGACCAACTTTGGCTTTCTTTTAAAAATGCCAACAGCTTGCAATTATTTCCCCCCAAATGTTATTAATAGGCACGTTTTGGGGGTGCTTTTTCTCCAGCAGTTTTAGACTCTACAGCAAATGCGAGCAGACGACAGCGCAGCGCTGGCATCCTGCGGTCTGGGAAGCACTGGTTACAAGTGACGGGCAAACACGGCGTGAACTCTGCAGCGCTGGCCGTGCTGCCGCGTGCTCGGCTGCCAGTCCAAGGGCTTTAACTATGTGGTTTGTTGGCTCTTGGCTGTGAACTAGAGCCTACAGTGCACTATCTTCTTCACCAACCTAACGTCCCTCTTCTATTCTAGGCTACCATCTGCAGCTAGCTGTAGTTCGCTGTGGTTGTTGGGCGCGCCACCCTGTCAGAGCCAGCTCGTGGCAGCCCTGTACACAGGACACCGGCCTCACACTGTCCCAGCTGCCGGGTCAGTCCCTTCTTGAGGGCCCTCCTCTTTTTTGCTGCCCCTCCATGATGTCCTCCAGCGACGGTCTTTCCTGGCAACATGTCCAGAGCATGTCGTAGCCGAAGTTTATTTAAATACTAGGCCAATCCAACGTGGATTAAAGGTACACTATTTTCAAGAAGGAGCTCTGGTGATGTGCTGACATGGAAGGTTAATCGGTGGGCTGAGAGCAACAAAGTTGGCTATTCAAACCCACCAGCCAGCTCCATGAAGAAAGACGAGGCTGCTTGCTCCCTTACGGAGCAGTTCTAGTGTTCTGTACAGCCAACTGACCCCACCTGGCAGTGGGGGCAGGGTTATTTCCAAGTGGATCCCCCTCTGCTAAGGGCACTCATTTTTAAGGGCTTCGGCCAGTGAGCAAAACCAAATGAGTATGCCTTGGAATTCTTCAATGATCCTCATTTCAAGGTCTTTTCTGCTGAACTCCTATAAATAAAATCTTATTTCAACATCCAACCACCTGTATAAAGACAAAAAACACCATGGAGAAAAATATTAAATAGCTCTAATCCATAGAGCGTAAGCTCTATCTAGGCAGGTACTATCTTCTCACTGCCGAAACCTTCAGAGCTACGTAAGTTTCTGGTACTTACTATGGGTGGAAATACAAATATATACTTAAATACTTTTATTGAAGGCTCTTACATTGCTCATCACAATCCATACACTCCTTCAATGTGTCAAGCACATTTGCCGCCATCATCATTTTCAAAGCGTTCTCTTCCCACTTGAGCCCCTGATATCAGCTCCCCAGTTCTTCCCCCTCTCTCTCCCGGGTGGAAATAATAAAAAGTGTTTGCGACTAAAGGGCAAGGTGTAGTGGATTGCGTGGCAGACTCCTAACCACAAGGGCAGCAGTTGGAGACCAGCAGCTGCTCCTGTGAAGATCTGTGGTCTCAGAACCTGACTGACTGTCCTACAGGGTGGCTAGCAGTTGAAATCGGCACAGTGGCAGGGAATTTGACAAATGTGGCAGTT